CCACATTCATGGTCCAAGGAAAACGCCACAGGACATCTTGGCTATTCACCTCTCCTATCCTATTCCCAAAAGATCCCACCTTTCCCTCTGCTCTTTGTGTGTGTCCTGGGCTAAGTCAAATAGAAATCTTTTAAAATATTTGACTTCTGATCTTCCAATAGGAAATTAATTTCACAAAAGAGAGGCTGCATCTGCCAAAAACACATTTGCATTTTGCTTCTCGGTCAGACAGTCAGTTGGTTGGTCCATTGGTCCTCTAACTGTGGCAGGCACAACCCACAATCTGCAGTAGGGAGCTTACATGAGGCCCCACAGAAGCTGGCTCCAGGTTCACTGAGGAGGGAAGACAAGGAGAGGACAGGATCCAAGCATTCCCTAAAGTACAAGGCCTGGGGACACAGACCTGACCAGGAGGTGAATTTCCAGTTCCCTGCCCTGTCCTCAATGTGTCCAGCAAATGCCACCAACGCTCTGTGGTCTTCCATTCTTGAGAGCGAATCACGCCAAACTCTATTACTGTCTCTCCTGCAAGGGAACAGACATGGTTTCTTCTAGCATCTACCACAGTGCCCAACCCTACGGTCATGTTCCATCAAATTAACTACCTAACTGATTGACTGCAATCATCATAAAGACCATGGTAGTCAAGTGCAATGATTCTGTCTTATAGATGAGAAACCTAAGTTTCCCTGAGAGAGGTAGTGATTTTCCCAAGGTCATGCAGCTGTGGAGCTAGGAACTCAACCCTCTTGAACTCTAACCCCCTTAAGTGTCCCCACTTCCTCTTCATCCAAAGACGCTGACTATCCTATCTTTGTTACTTCCTTGACTATCGCTGACCTTTTCTAGGGGCCCTCAGGCTGGCTGATACAATTGCTTATATACATACAATCTTTTGTTTCCTTATAAGGAAGAAAAATTAAGCTGAAATAAGAAAGGAAGTAGAGAGGAACTTGTGTGCAGCACAACCTTGAGAGAGGAACAGTAGACTAATCTGGAATCAAACCAGCAAGGTCCAGAGAGGGCATGCATCTTGTCTCTGGAGAGGAAGGAGTGTTTGTGCAGGCTACAGAGTCAAGACTCAGCCTGCTCAGTCCTGCTGCTCCCAGGATGTTGCTGCAGATGCCCTATGGGGACCCTGCTGTGGATGCTGAGCAGAAGCTGGAAGAAATGCCTGACTGCAGGAGAGCTGCTTCCCCTGTGGTGCATCGAGCCTGGGGGAACCAGACCGAACACGTTCCCACCTGTTCTGTTTGCAGCATCCGAAGTCTTCCGTGCTGCCCATCTACAGGCAGCTGGAGAAAGGAGGGGCCAACAAAGATGACGACTGTCTGGTTCAAAGAAAGCAGTGTGTGTGTGTGTGTGTGTTTGTGTATCTGTGTATGACTCTGTGTTCCTGTATATATGTGTGTGCCTGTATATATGTGTGTGACTATGTGAATATGTGCATGTGCGTGTGTGCGTGGTGTGTGACTGTATATATGTGTGTGAGTCTGTGTGTATGTGTGTGTGACTGTATATATGTGTGTGACTCTGTGTGTGCACATGTGTGGGCATGTGCATGTGTGTGTATGAGTGTGTGTACACATGCAAGCACATGTGTCAGTGCATATGGAGGCCACAGATCAGCCTTGGGCTCCAAGAACCTTCCACTAATTTTTAAGACAGGGTCTCACTGACCTGGAGCACACTACCCAGGCTATGCTGGCTGACCCAGGAATCCCAGGAATGAACCTGTCTGCCTCCCCAATGAAGCTGGGATTACACCACACCCAACTTTGTTTTACATAGGTTCTAGGGCTTGGAATTGGGTCCTATGGTTGCATACACTCTACCAGTTGTGCCTACACTTTACCAACTGAGCTGTCTTCCTGTCTGTTACTTAGGCAAAGGTTTTACTCTATAGCCCACTATATGTTTTCCTATAACCCCTGAGAATGCCTGATCATCAGCACTTAAGCAGAGAGTCTCCCAGGTTCAGACACAGATAAAAATCAGGTCTCCGTACGCTCTGGCTCCTGCATCACCATGTAACACAATTACCTCTTCAAAGTTCTTTACCCCACACAATCTGAGGTGCTCCAGCTAGCTCAAGAGGGAGCAGAGAACGCAGGACTCGTGGTGCGAAGAGGAACACGGCTCTCTGGCTATCAAAACTGCCAGGACAGCAAGGCAAGATTTCAAAAGCATGTACACACACTAGTGAAGCAAATCCAGAATGGCTTCTGTGCTGAATGCCCTTGTCCCTGCTTTAACAAAGGTGGGACCATCCCATGGCCCACATTATGCAGGGAAAAAAGAGATTTATATAAAGGATCACCTATTCGCCACTTCTTTATTCTATTACGGGCAGGAGCAGAGGCTGACACCCACAAGGACCCTTTACAGCAAGGGATTATATATCATGCCATAGAAATACATAAAAGACAAATTATCCTGAGATCATCATGCTTGCATTGACCTGCTCAAGGTTTAAATCCAGCTGCAATTAGATACCATAGTCACAGATCTTCAGGCTGCTTAAATCACCAGCAACGTGCTTTAATCCTGGGGAAACAGAACAGGATGGATTTTTATGGATATCTAAGTTTGGATTCTGTGGGTCTGATTTTGATTCGTGGGAGGTTAGTAATCTGCTTTTGTTAACCAGATCCTCCTCAACTTCTGAGGTATTTATAATACGATATCTAATTCAGGCTTGAAACACTCATGAAAATTAACTGCATTATTTTTAAAAATGTAACCGGGGAGAGAGATGGCGAGGGAAAGCGGTGTGCAGTGATAAAAGCTCATCGCTCTTGTCCATCCACCAGAGAGCTCGCCCAGCTGCTGCGACTGACTGACGAATCTCACAGGCACTAATGTGCCCACTCTTTGGTCAGACCTGCTTTCCTAACATGGAGACAGATTAAGAAATCTGTTTTACTGGCTGCTGTAATAGAAAAAATTGAAAATCTATCCACAATGGGAGCATAGAGGTTTTATTTATTTTAACACTTAAAAAGCATATAAGTCACGTGATCTGAAGATTTGGGGGCACAGTAGAAATGGCCACCATGCTAATGATCACCATTCCTCCTCCTCCTTCTCCTTCTCCTCCTCCTCTTCTTCTTCTTCTTCTTCTTTTCTTCTTCTTCTTCTTCCTCTTCCTCCTCCTCCTCTTCCTCCTCCTCTTCTTCTTCCTCTTCTTCTTCTTCTTCCTCCTCCTCCTCCTCCTCCTTCTTCTTCAATGGTAAGTGTTCCCCTCCTAGGCACTTCCTATGTATGTAGCATTGTTGTGAGCACATCACATCATACTTTACCTGATGAGCAGGTTGAAGCATAGAGTGAGCCCCAAGCACATAGCTGACACTGGCTGACCCACAAAGTTTGAACCCCACACCCATTATCCATCTGATATGCTACTTGCTTTACACTAACAATTCTGAGAGAGAGAGAGAGAGAGAGAGAGAGAGAGAGAGAGAGAGAGAGAGAGAGAGAGAGATATTGAGGAGAGATCCATTAGATCATGCCCCCGGAACATTAACTATGCTTTAAATACCTTAATTTATGAGTTTAATAAAAAGCCAGCAGCTAGGTGAGTTCTAAGCCTATAATATAAAAAGATGGATTTGTCCAAACATCCACAAAATATGGCTGCAGACTCTTAAAAGGAAAGAAGAATTGCCTGTTCAGAGCACAAGGATGTCAGCGTGTTCCCCCACCGAGACAAGTCTGCATTCTGTCCTCAGAGAACACACACAGGTTCTCTGGCCAAGAGATCTAATTTCTTCACCATGTCAGAGTGGACACGACTTCATCTCAGGGTCAAGAGAGAAATAACAGTGGTAGACAAACCCACAATCCTGTGATATTCATCTCCCATGAAAATTAGGTCTGCCAAATGGTCCATAGCAAAACACCGTCCACCTCAGTATTTCCCAGGGCTGATCTTCCAGAGGTCAGCTTGGCACCTGAAGGGCAACGTTGAGTGAGAAATCAGAATGGATGTGCGATGTGGGTTAACGGCTCCTAGGGGCACCTCCTCCACAGACCCGCTTCCACGAGAGTGATGATCTTGTGTCTCAGACCTGAATTCAATTGTCTGGGGCTTTTGCTCCCTTAAATTACACTCTGAGAGGACAGATTTCTAAGTCCCTTCATTCTCTACGCCTTTGTCTGAACCACACTTATCACTGAAAAAATTATTGTTCTTTTAAAATTTATTTATTTAAAAATTATTTTCTGGAGATCACCATGTTGTTATTGATCCACAGTTTTCCGTACTTTGATGCTGAAGGGGCTGAACTTTTGGAATCTCTCTGGTGGGATTCCTTTGAAATGGATGTCTGGTAAGGAATGAGTTTAGGGTGCCAATGGAGAAGAGAGAGGAAGGAATCATAAAAGCAACGCAAGGCCAACCAAGTCTTAGCCAGCCCACCAAGGAGCTTAGGAACTGGATGTCCTGCCATCTAGAATTGTCCCAAGGTGGGTGAATTGTTTCAGTCTCTGACCACTGAGGAGTTGTTGGCTCTGTGTCTCCCTAGAAAGGCAGCTGGAGGAGTCCTTCCCTCCTGGAGGGCAGACAGAGAATCTTCCAAGGCATCTATGATTTCTTCACCATGTACTTCTACCCTTTTGAAGCAATCTTAATCCTTTCTGCATCACAAACCATAAGAAGACTGACTACAAGGAGAACAAGGCAGGCTAAATCTGCCATTCTCCAGCCAGGGCTACAATAAGGCTACAAGCCATTTGTAGTCTAGGTTCCTATACCCAAAGCTTTGCTAGCCATCTCCAACACTACAAAAACATTTGCAGCCATGATATTCCTTCTCCCTGCCCCCAAACACTCTGACATCCTCTTGCTTCATGGCTCGTACTCTCCCACAGGCCTACACTCAGATCTCTCTCTACCAGAAATGCTTCTTAGACCCCAGGCAGAGCCGAATGAACAAACTCTTTCTGCCAGTGGATCTCATTCACAGTTCTCCAACTTTCTCAAAGGATCTCCAGGAGCTCAGCCTGAGGAGCAGCAGGCATTTGGTAAATAAATAAATAATGGAGAATAATGGAGTGATGAATCTTTGCACCTCAGGGCAACACTAGGACAATGTGAAGAGCCTCGGGATAGACTTCAGGTTTTGAGATGCCTCCAAGAATGATCCAGCCTCTACAGACAGACCACCTCAAACGGATTCAGGTACCCCAGCAAGATGTTCCCCTAACATGTGCCCCTACCACAGCACTGAGTTAGTAACCTGATAAATACCTGTTAGTTTTGGGTGGTTGGTTTGTTTGTATTTTCAAATTACACTGTAACTATCTGTGACAACAGAAGCCATTTCTGTGTGAGTCATTGTTTTACCTTCCGGCACATAGCACTCAAGAAAATAAATATATCCTGAATAAATTAAACAGAAAATTCTGTGAACCATGTTCAAATCCACACTGGCATAAAGTTGAAGTGTGCGATAGGTTTAGCTAGCATCCAACAGAGCTGCAAACAAAGGAGCAGCGATGGGGCATCTGGGAGGAATATAGGAGCCATCCTTATACGCTATATGTATATATACATATATGTATGTGTGTATATATACATGTATATACGTATATATGTACATATCACGTATATGTATAATATACATATATGTATACGTATAGATATATATAGAGAAAAGATAACTACTTAGTGGCAGAAGGGTCCTCTCTTCCCTTCTGAGAGTTAGGAGGTGACTGACACACTGCACAATAGCCATTGCTGATTATAGTCAAAGCTACTACACTATACCAAGGACTCACAGAGTCCAACAGTGGCTTTGCATGTTAAATATACAATATCATTTCCTTAAACCTCCACAAAATGACTAAAATGTAAGAATTATTATGCTCACTTGTCAGATAATAGCATTAAGGCTCAAAGAAATGCAGACACCTATCCCAACTTAAATTACTAGTGAGACACAGAACAAGTATCTAAACCCAGCTATGCCTGACTGCAACCCCTGTGCTCAAACTAAACTCCATGGTGAACATCCTCTCACCAACAGACCAGGGTCCTAGAAACACATAGAGTCAATGTAACACTTGAACACAACAGTCTGAAGTCAATGTTACCGTAGGCAGGCTTTTAAATAGCTTACTGTCAATCCAGCTCACACACACCACACAAAAAGAAAAAGCAGAGTAGTTATAAAATCTCACAGGCTGAATGAAGCATACATTCACAAATCTCAACCACCATATTTCAATGTTTGCAGCCCTGTATTCTAGCTTGTGTCTCTGCTGCTGTGATGGAAAAAAGAAACAACAACAACAAAAACAAAAAAACAAAAAAACAAAAAAACTGACCCAAACCAACGTGAGGAGGAAGGAACTAATATGGCTTACACTTCTGTATCACAGTGCATTATCAAGAGAAGCCAAGGCAGGAGCTCAAAGCAAGAAATGGAAGCAGGAGTGAAACAGTCATGGAGGGAAGTTGCTTATTGGCTTGTTCTCCATACCTTGTTCAGCCTGACTTCTTACACAACCCAGGAATACCTTCCTAGGGGTGGTACCACCCATGATGGGCTGTGCCCTCCCGTATCACTCATCAATCAAAAAGGTGACCCCACAGCTTTACCCATAAGCCAATCTGATAGAGATTCCTCAGCCACAATTGCTCTTCCCAGATGACTCTAGTTTGTAACAAATTGATAAAAGCTAACCCTCACACCCTACAAGATTCAGATATTGAAATTTACCCTTCATGGCAGTAGTAGTATGAGGTGGGGCCTTTGGAAGGTAACTAGTTCATGAATGGAAATAGTGTCCTTATAAAAATGTATCAAAAGAACTTCCTTGTCTCTTCTGGCATGCGAGAACAGGAAGAAGGAGCAGCATAAGGAAAGGCCCTTGCCAGACACCAAATATGCCAAGACCTTGGCTGTGGACTTCAGAGCTCCAGAACTACAAAACAATAAATTTCTCCTGATTATAAATTACATTGTCTAAGGCATTGTGTTATAGTTACCAAAATAAGCGAACACATAGACTGTAGTCAGGCCTCTAAAACCATACCAAATGACCTCTCCCCTCACACCTGTCTAGTCCCACCAGCCATGCACCATGCTTGTAAAGCACACACAGAGCCTGCAGACTTTCCCACAGGCACCTAAGGCAATCTATTCACACCGAAAGCACGAATTTAAAGTGCACAGCTAGGCCTGGGGAAGGAGCTGGGTTGGAATGTTAGCCTAGCACGCAGAAGACCCTGAATTCTGTCTCAAGACCCTGAAAAGAAATTAAACATAAAACGAGTATCCAGCTGAAAGAGAAAAAGGAATGTTCTAGCATGCCTCTGGTGATGATGCTGGTTCAAAAGACAGCCAGGGTTAAGGCTACTTCTCATTCTGGCTTGTCACACCTGAAAGGAAAAGGCAGGTAGGGTGAGGAGATCTAAAGAATTAATGTATTAAAACATTTTTTTCATATTTAATTCCTGTGTTTCCATGGCAACTGAGCCATCAACCAACAAATGTGCCCTTCTTTCTTGCAAATAAAAAAAAAAATGTTTTCTTCCAAGAAGAAAATGTTAACGACACATTTATCTACCTTGATGAGTAATGTATCTGGGGAGCTTCCAAAAGAATCCACACTTTTTCCAATTTTCCCATCTTCCCCATTCTTCAAAGACTCACTCAGGAATTAAGTACTGAATGTGGACAGCAAAGCTACAGTGTAACGCAAACAAGGAGGTGCATATCTAGGAGGAGATGCAAAAGTAGGGTGCATACTTAAGAGTTTTGGTCGGCCCTTTCCTGAACCCAATGAAATTCTGAAGTTGAGGATTTTCACTGTAAGCCTGCTAGCACATGGCTGCCAAACTTTCTTAACGATATCTACTGACTGGGTCAACTTTATAACCCCATTAATCCTGTGTGGCCTTTTCCAAGTACTGTAACTAACCATGACCCAAAGCTCACCCTGAGACATCCCCGCCCCCGCTGCAGCCCTGACTGTCACATGTGCCACTCAGCTCTGCCTGCTTGTATTTCCTCCGGGAAATGGGGCTTCTCTGGTGCTTCTAGAAGTCACAGGACAGCTGATGACACCTGGCACACCCTGAGCTCAGCATCCCACCAGTGAGAGCTGAGTTTCTGCACCCTTTAAATTTGGTCTCTAGCTCCTGGTCCTCTTTTCTCCTTGTAACTCATTCGTTAGCCTAGAACTCCAGAGAGCTGCATGTGCAGCCAGCTTGCCTGATCACTCCTTGCCCTGTGTCCTGCATGCCTTTCCTGGACTGTGCCTAACTGCTGACAGTTCTGAGGAGGGGTCTAACATCCTTCAGAGTACCAGCAATTGGGATCCGCCTTCAAAATGATATTCTTAAACATATGCCTTATCTTTTAGCTCATTGCTTTGCATCTGAAAGGGGAATGGTGACTAGTCAGAGGGAAGAAATGAACCACACACAGCAGAGACAGGAAGCCACAGTGAAAAATAAACTCTAAATGAGGCCCTAGAATCAATCAATGGCAACAGAGACAAGGTCTCGAACACAACTCCTCTTAGGAGGACTTGTTTTCTGGACTTGTTTCCATGTGAATTTCCCTCACTAGTTCATCCAAGCTGCCTGATAATAGAAACAGGAAGCCCAAAAGAGAAGGGGAACAGCAGGAAGGTTCCTACCACAACTGCATAACAGTTACAGCACAGCAGTTACAGCTTCCATCCGGGAACCTGGTTTCCTAATGCCACTCTGGAACATAAGAATAAAAAAATATTCAAGGCTTGGTCCTCAATTCTGGGTCACATATAGTGAGTATAGGGTGAGTTCCACGGGTGTTTCTTCCCCTGGGCAAGCAGGCCTGAGACTCCCAACCTAGGAATTCCCAGTGCACATGGCAGGAGCCAACTCCCCATTCGTCCTACATTTCAGAGAGTCCAAGCCCATGATGACATGGGCACTAACACTAAGCTAACTCATTCTTGTACCAACTTTCTCTTTCTGCTGTACACACTACCACAAGCCGAGTAGCTAACAAAGAACTCTGATTCGTGATCTTGTTTCTATGGAGGTCCGAAGCCTGAAATCATTTCCGGGGGTTAAAACCAAGGTATTGACTGAGCTATGTCCCTTTTCAGTGGTCTAAAAGGCTCTTCTCCATGATTCATCTCCTAGTCTTTCTAGCTTCAGCTTCTAGAAGCCCCTTGTAGCTTGGTATGGTCCCAGCCCACTGTGGTACCGCTGGTCCTCCTCTCCTGGATCCCAGCTTCCTTGCCTCCATTTTCCATCCATTAGATACACTGTAATTACACTTTGTCTGGCTCGCCAGGATAACCCCGGATAATCTCTCCCATCTGAAGATCTGGACTGTAATCTCATCTGCAAAGTTCTTTTTGCCACATAGGAAAACACATTCGCCAGCTGTCCGGATTCTGTGTGGACACATCTGGAGAGTGGGGTGCCCTCATCTGCTCACCTGACTCATCTTCTAGGATTGCTGGGGGATCCAATAAGAGGACGTGAGTCTGCCAGAGGACTCTCTTCCTTAACGGAGCCTCAAAAACATCTTTAGTTTCAGCCTTCTTGCTCTTTCTGCTTCTTTTTTCTACCCCATGTTTCCTGACTGATGGTCCGCTCCCATTTCATCTCTCCTCGCCCTCATAGCCACAGAGTTCCGGATGAGACTCAGTGTTCGCTTCTGAAGGAAAGAGTCGCTCTGCCCTTGGCAAGCAAAGAAGAAAAATAATTTCAGAGCATGAGTTTACAATTTTTTTTTCAAAACAAGTTTGGAAAGCTATGCCACCAAATATTGTCAATCAGCATTCCTGGCACGCTGGCTTCATTAGATGCTATGCAAGTCAAGCGGGTCTTTATCGTTGTTGAAACAGCAAATCTGCACGTTCTGTGTGGTTCCAAATATTTGTAATAGAGCTGCTGCTAAATATATAAGCATGGCATCAGGCCTCACGTCGCAATCCTCTCTCTACAGTGACAGGGAGTATCAAACCCAGCAATATCAGTCTGGGGAGTTTTTCTCAAGATAATAGAGTATGAGAAAGGCAGAGAGAGGAACGAATGTACAACAGGGTGAGACCGGATGGGTAGTTCTCTGCGCTGAAAGAGAAACAGCTGGAAATACACTGTGGATGTTACAGAAAATAAGAAAGTTTCTTGGAAATTAAGTTCAAGGAAGATGAAATTGAAAGCACAAGGAAATAAAAAAAAAAATGCTCACTGATTAAAAAAAAAGGCATATTTAAGAAAAGCTAAAGTAATGCCACATATTCTTCCTCTGCTATTTGGGGATTGGCCAAGTGGTCTTTGTTTTCCTAGCACTGTTTCTGTCTTTTCTATTAGTTTGTAAACACTCTTTGAGTATTAGGGCTATTAACTCTTTCCCCATCAAGCTGTCTTTGCTTTACTGGTGCTAGACATCTTTTTTTCTGAGTAGAACTTTTAAATCTGTGTTCAATCAGACCTATCAATTTTTTTCTTTATGCTTTGTGAATTCATTCTTAAGATCCTGCCAAGATCATTAAAATTCCACCCACTAGTAATTAAAAATGCAAATAAAATGGAGATTTAATTTTTGCACCTACCAGATCCACTCGGTCATTTCTTCAACAAACATTTGTCAAATGCCCTCTATGTGATGAGCATGGGAAGAAAAGGTAGGAAATATAACAAAAGCTATGTCTGGGTGACATTTCTGTTGTATTGAGTCAAGAGAGGCACAGACATAAGTAAAGTGTATACTATATGAAATAATAAGCACCGTGGAATAAAGGGAAGCTGGGAAGGGGGACAGGGAGTGTGGTAGGGGAGCAGCTGGCCGTTTAAAGGCATGGCCAGGGAATGGTACTGCTACTGCGAGTAGCTATGCTGGTAACCAGGGAAAGATGGTCCAGGCAGGGCTTTTGACATGCTGCATGTGGCTGGGTACAGCTGTAAGTCTGGAAATAGGGGAGAAGAGCAGGCAGGGAGGTTTAGGACCTATCACCAAGGGCCTTGTGGTCTACTGTAAGAATTCAGCCTTTTACTCTAAGTGAAATAACACACATGTGTCAAAGGCTTAGTTCCCAAGGTAGTGGAATCTTTAAGAATTGGAGCCTAACTCAGTGATGGGGCTTGTCCTAGAAGATTGCAGGATCCCCTCTCTCCCTCTACCCTTCCTTCTCCCCCCAGTTCTCCCTTCTCCTTTCCCTCTATTTGTCCTTCCTCTCTCTCTCTCTCTCTCTCTCTCTCTCTCTCTCTCTCTCTCTCTC